TGAAATCTCTCTTGAACTTCCTGTAGGTTCAGACATCTACGCCGAGATCCCAGACGGGAGTTTGGACTCGACTAACTCTGGTACGTTTCACATAATACTTTTATTTTTCAGTCGCTGTTGTGTTTCAGTTTAGTTTATTTTGTTTCAGGGAAAAAAGGTTCACTTTCCAGAGACGACGTGGTTGTGGGGCGGATTCTCGGTGAAGGATTCTTTGGAGAAGTCCATGACGGAGTTTACAAAAGTCCAGTGAGTTCAGTACATTTTATTTCAGTCTGAATACACAAAATACACTCTGGAGAACTTTAAGCCTCAAGTTCTGGTTTTAGATAATTTTTATAATATTTTTACCCCAATCAAGAAGAAAAATATGTTGAAAATAAACCTTTTTCACAATGGCCGAAGTTTCTTTTGTTCACTGGACGAGTTCAGTGCATATCATGGTTGCTATGGTGACGGTTATGGAATTCTCCGGTGTGATGTCATGATTTCCAACCAGAGAGTAAAATTTGAAACCTAATAAAATGGCCAAACTGGGGAAAGATGTTTAAGATTTTTTTATCAAAATCTTAAAATGATTTACCATGAGGTCACTGTTGTGGTTTTTTTTTTTTGTTTTTTTTCAGACAGGAGAGAGGCTCCGAGTGGCCGTGAAAACCTGTAAAGACTGTTCTCCCGACGTCAAGGAGAAGTTTCTCAGTGAAGCAGGTTCGTTTACCTCAAACAAAATAGTTTTAATAAGATTTTTACTGTTTTAAAATGTGGAAAACAGAACGAGTGCAGTGTAAACAGTTTGCAGAGGTTCAGAATTCTCCCTCACTTTCAGAGCATCCTAATTATTCACAACGATGAGTTTATAAAAGCTTTTCACAACTCTCACAGACTCTAACAACAACTAACATTCTGACATGTACTTCCTGATCCTCAGATAATAAAACTCTTTATAATTAGGCACAGACAGAGCTCAGAGGACTTTGAGAGCTGCTTATACAGTATTTGTGCTTGGATAGAGACACGTTCTGCTTAAATACATGGGACACATTTACAGACTTGAATTTAATCTAAAATGATTTTGTTTCAGACTTTGATGAGGAACCTGGAGCACCCTCACATCGTGCGTCTGATCGGGGTGATAGAGGTGGACCCGGTCTGGATCGTCATGGAGCTTCTGGAGCTCGGAGAGGTCTTTATAAACTCACTGTCTGAATCATGTGGTGGTGTTATAATCTCACGTGGAGCCTGTGTAACTCTGTGTCTGAATGTCCACACTCTTTTTGGAGCTCTTACTGCTGTCCAAAAGTCCAGTGAGGGAGAAACAAGCAGGGTTCCCACAGTCATGGAAATCCTGAAAATGTTATGGAATTTTGTAAACTCAATGAAAGTTTTGGAAAAGTCATAGAATTTTAGTCTCTCTTTCCCTCAGCTCCAGTGTTGTGTTCAGTTCTCATGAGTCTTTTTTGATTATTTGTGAACGTCTTGTTTAAAAGAGACGACAGTAAATGCACTGACAGGATTTAGAATGTTCAAAAACTATAATCCCAAACCATAAGGTGAGAGGAAAGAGTTCACATTTCAGATTTAACCCTAAAAGTCTGATCAATTCTACACATATAGGAGCTGTAAAGTCATGGAAAATTCACTTTTCTCATGAAAAAGTCATGGAAAAGTTTTGAAATTTTGTCAGTGGAAAATAATGTGATCTGTAAACCAGTGAGTACAGAGCACAGCGCTCTGAGAGAGTGGAGCAAACCCCAGCGACTGTGTGAATGAAGCAGATGAAGCTCTGGTTTGTGGCTCTGTAGATAAAACTGAATAAAACTCACGCTGGTGCTTCAGCTGCAGCTCCACATCTCAGACACAAATCAAATCATCCATAAACAGCTGTGTGTCAGTCCGAGTTTATCTATTTATTTATGACAGAAATCAAGTTTTATCTTAGTTTAACCTTTAGACTTTTTTCACCAGAGTCACGTGACCCGACTGTAGTGAACGAGTGAATAAGTGATGATATAAATGAACCATAAACCTGTGACACAAACTCCACCTGAGAATCTCTCCTGTGTCCAGCTCAGGTTCAGCTGCAGCGGCTCATGTGGACGAGCTCAGAACACAGAGACTGAACATAGAAGTGTTACAGTCAGGGCTGAGGGTCATTCAGAAGCTGCCGATACGATACACACCTCGATACACAGGCCACGATACAATATGTTTTTCGATACTGTGCACTTTCGATTCAATATGATATATTTCAAATCAATTCAATACAGGTCAGTGAAAAACAAAAGTCTAAATCCTGGCCACTAAGTCTGTGCAAAGTTAAAACAAATAACACCCATTTTACTCAAAACATGTCAACACAATTGTAGCTCTTAGACAAAATAATTTAGTAAAATGTCCCTCTGTCTGTAACTGCTGCTCTGAGCCTCCTCAGTTTAGACTTTAAATGTTTGTATTAACCTGCTCTACATCAACCTGGGGTTTTTATTTTGTTATTTTGTCCATAAATAAAATCCTTTTCTTAATATGGAACTCAAACTCACTCCTGTAACTGTCGCCCTCAGTGAGCTTCATTTGACTGAAGCTGCAGTCGACTGAAACCGAAGACTAAACCAAGACTAAACCAGGACTAAACAAGGACTAAACAAACCAGGACTAAAACCAAAGGACTAAACAAGGACGGACTAAACCAGGACTAAACAAGGACCAAACCAGGACTAAACCAGGACTAAACCTAAACCAGGACTAAACCAGGACTAAACCAGGATTAAACCAGGACTAAACCAAACAACCAGGAAAACCAGGATAAACCAGGACTAAACTAAACCAGGACTAAACAAGGACTAAACCAAACCAGGACTAAACCAAGGACTAAACTAAACCAAAACAACAGGACTAAACCAAACCGGACTAAACATAAACCAGGACTAAACCAGGAGAATAAATAAACAATGGACTAAACAAGTTAAACCGTGTGCAAGAATATCGAAATATTGATGTATCGTATTGTTTAATGTGATGCTCGTGGGCTGCTGTATCGATATATCATTGATATATTGAGTATTTTTTGGTGTATTTTACATAATTATTTTGTTACAGTTACAGTTTTGTTGTTCGTTTGGAGGAAGGAAACTCATTTATGCGACACATTTGATATTTTAACTGTTGTGTTTCTTATGAACTTTGCGCAAGAAGTGGTTTAACAAAGAGCCATGAGTTAGGCATAGAATCATATCGAACTGAAAGCTCATTTTATCGAGATATGTATCGTATCGTGGTCTATGTATCGAGATCGGCAGCTTCTTAATGATACTCAGCCCTGATGTGAACACGTCCTTCTGTAGTTCTGTTTATTCTGACTGGTTTGTGTGTTTTCTTTTGTAGCTCGGTCAGTTTCTGGTGGAGCAGCAGCGTTTTCTGACCAACGCCACGCTCACTCTGTACTGTCTCCAGATCTGCAAAGCTCTGGCCTATTTAGAAGGACTCAACATGGTGCACAGGTGAGTCACCTGTCAGTCAACTGTAACAGGATCACACACGCAAACGTTTATTTAAGGGCCCACAGGACACTATTTCTGATCTAATGTTTCATTATCACAAACAGACCTGGAGTTGTGTTTTGTTTCTTTTTTTTTTTTTCTTTTTTTTTTGTATTATTATATATATATATATATATATTATTTTATTATTATTATTTTTTTTTACTTTTTTATTATTTTGTTTATTTTATTTTATTTTATTGTTTTTTTTTTAGAGTTTTTTTTCTGAAATTCTAAAACAACTTTTCTAAAACACTGTTCTAGAGCTGCTCGATTATGGAAAAAATCATTATCACAATTATTTTGGTCAATACTGAAATCACGATTATTCAATACGATTATTTTTGTTAGTTACACAATTCATTTATTCAGCATTTCTCTCTAAAAAACACTTTGTTATTGATAATTTACACAAAACTTTCAAATCGAAAATAAATTCAGGCTACAAATCTGAACACATAAAATTTATAAAATAAACTTTAAACATGAAATCAGGCAGAAAAACATAAATGTGTCCAAAATAAACTCTATATCCAGCTCTTCTACAATCTCTGTATTAAAAAATAAATTAATAAAATATAAAAAAATCCCAAAATAAACTTTATTAAGCTTTATTCTTTCAACTTGTTTATTTAAGTTTGGAGATCGTTTGACACACAAATTGAAATCGTGATCAAAATTCAATTAACTGCACAGACTTCCACCTTGTGATGTCATCATGTGGCAATACAGGAAGTGCTCCACTGTGTTTTTAAACTTCATACACCTTCACTAGAATCATTTATTCAGTTCTGGAATTGCAAAAAGTGTTACTCAAACACGTGCAAATGAAAAAAAACACAACTCCAGGTCTGTTTGTGATGAGGAAACGGCGTTAGAGCGTCACTTTTGTGTAACATCGGACCGTTCAAGTTGATTCTGAAGTCTCTGTACCAGATAAGATCGAAGATAAGTTCTTAAAAATGTGAAAAACAGAACTAATTTTGAGAACTAACATACATGTTAAAACTGGTTATCAGCCACAGCAAAAACACCACACTGGTTCCTCAAAAGCAAACATATAATTAGGACCTACATGTGTCTTCTTTAACACGACACAGAAACAGAAAACCACACTTCAGAACATTCTGCATGGAGATCGATGTGCTTTATGCCGTACTGTGGAATATTACAGCCAAAAACAAGGATATTTCCATGGTGACAAGCAAATAAAGATAAAGATAAAGAGTCAGGTTTGTGGAGATGCGAGACAGTTACAAAAACGTCACAATATTGATCTAAAACAACTTCAGAAAAGAAACAAACGCTCTGACTGCGACGTTAGAAAAGCTCACAAGGACTGAACCAGGACTAAACCAGGACTAAACCAGGTCTAAACCAGGACTAAACCAGGACTGAACCAGGACTAAACCAGGACTAAACCAGGACTAAACCAGGACTAAACCAGGACCAAACCAAGACTAAACCAAGAAAAAACCTGGACTAAACCAAATTGTGGGCCCCTCCTATGAGCAGAACCAAACCAGGACTAAACCAGGACTTAACCAAGACCAAACCAGCGACAAACCAGCACCAAACCAGGACTAAACCAGGATTAATCCTCGTCTAAACCAGGACTAAACCAGGACCAAACCAAGACTAAACCAGGACTAAACCAAGAATAAACCCGGACTAAACCAGATTGTGGGCCCCTCCTATGAGCAGAACCAAACCAGGACTAAACCAGGACTTAACCAGGATTAAACCAGAACTAACCCAGGACTAAATGAGACTGTGGACCTCTCCTATGGATAGAACCAAACCAGAACCAAACCAGAACTAAACCAGAACTAACCCAGGACTAAACCAGACTGTGGACCTCTCCTATGGACAGAACCAAACCAGGACTAAACCAGGACTAAACCAAGACTAAACCAGGACTAAACCAAGACCAAAACCAGCACCAAACCAGAACCAAACCAGGACTAAACCAGGACTAAACCAAGTCTGAACCAGCACCAAACCAGGCTGGGGGCCCCTCCTCCTGCTGCACATCACACTAGAGCAGAGCGTTTTTTGTTTTTTTTTACACTTGGACCAAAATTATGACGAGACGCTGCCCAAACCTACGAGTGTCACCCACGAAGAACATCAAACTGGAGAAGGAAGTGCGTAGGTCACGGCGGGCGTGTACCGCTGAAAACGACCAGAGAGCGACAAAACTGTGTCTTAAAGATTCCTCAAACACGAATCACTCCAAAGAAACGACTAGAACATGGAGAAACATCTGAGGAGAACAGCTCTGATTTAAAACTGTCAGCGTGATCCCTCTAGGCCCCGCCCCCTGACCCCTGACCCCTGACCCTCTGTGCGTTTCAGAGACATCGCGGTGAGGAACATTTTGGTGGCGTCTCCGGACTGCGTCAAACTGGGAGACTTTGGTTTGTCCAGATACGTCGACGAGCAGGAGTATTACAAAGGTATTATTATTATATTATCATTATTATTATTCTAAGGGGGGTGTTCTGTATGTATGTGTATGGCATAATGTACAGCAGTTATCAAAGAAGGTTTTAGATTGTTTGAAAACTCCAGAAAATATAAACAAAATGGATTAAAGAGACATTTTCAGGAGCCTGTGGTCAGTGCTTCGTGGTTCTGTGCTGACTGAGTGTTGAGTAATTCTAACTGTAGGCACTACTCTGTCTGAGGCTGTGTGTCTAAACATGTGTGTGTGTGTGTGCGTGTGTGTGTGTGTGTGTGTCCAGCGTCCGTGAGCAGGATGCCCATAAAGTGGATGGCCCCAGAGTCGATCAACTTCAGGAGGTTCACTTCAGCGAGCGACGTGTGGATGTTCGGTGAGACTCGCGTTTAAAGGAGCCGTTTCTCGCACTAAAGTCGAGTGTCTAATGTCGTTTCCTCGTCACAAACACGAACACACACACACACACACACACCTGGAGCTTGTGTTTTGTTTAACACACAAACCTGCTCCACTGTGTTTTTAAACTCCACACACTTTCACTAGAATCATTTGGATCATTTCAGACCTGGAGTCGCCGATTTCTACTGAACTAAAGGAAAAAGGAGCTGTTCACTCGGCTTCAGATCTAAACCAGGTCTAAACTGGGTCTAAATTGGGTCTAAACTGGATCTAAACCAGGACTGGACTAGATCTGATCTAAACCAGGTCTAAACCAGGTCTAAAAAGAACTGAACCCACTCTGATCTAAATCAGAACTAAACCAGGTCTAAACCAGGACTAAACTGGATCTAAAACCAGGTCTAAACTGGGTCTAAACCAGGTCTAAAAAGAACTGAACCCACTCTGATCTAAATCAGAACTAAACCAGGTCTAAACCAGGTCTAAACCAGGACTAAACCAGGACTAAACTAGATCTGATCTAAACCAGGTCTAAACCCGAACTAAACCAGGACTAAACTAGGTCTTAATTGGGTCTAAATTGGGTCTAAACCAGGTCTAAACCCGAACTAAACCAGGACTAAACTAGGTCTTAATTGGGTCTAAATTGGGTCTAAACCAGGACTGAACCTGTGTTTTTTAAACTCCACACACCTTCACTAGAATCATTTGGATCATTTCAGTCCTGGAGTTGCCCGATCTCGACTGAACTAAAAATAAAAGGAGTTGTTCACTTGAAAAATACCACTTCATGACATCACAAGGTGGAGCAGAGCGTTTGATGCTTTGTAGATGTAAACAGACTCATAATAAAGAGTTAAACAAACAAACACAACTCCAGCTCTGATTGTGACGAGGAAACATTTTAGTGTCATACAGATTTTTACCTGTGTAGTGTTGATGTTGACTGTGATTCCGTGTGTCCCTCGTGTGTCCCTCGTGCGTCCCCGTGTGTCCTCCGTGTGTCCCTCGTGCGTCCCCCGTGTGTCCTCCGTGTGTCCCTCGTGTGTCCGTGTCGTCCTCCGTGTGTCCTCCGTGTGTTGTCCTCCGTGTGTCCTCCGTGTGTCCTCCGTGTGTCCCCGTGTGTCCTCCCATGTGTCCTCCGTGTGTCCCTCGTGTGTCCCCCGTGTGTCCTCCCGTGTGTCCCTCGTGCGTCCCTCGTGTGTCCTCCGTGTGTCCCTGTGTGTGTCGTGTCCTCGTGTGTCCTCCGTGTGTCCTCCGTGTGTCCCCGTGTCCTCCGTGTGTCCTCCGTGTGTCCCTCCGTGTGTCCCCCGTGTGTCCCTCGTGTGTCCCCTCCGTGTGTCCTCCGTGTGTCCCCGTGTGTCCTCCGTGTGTCCTCCGTGTGTGTCCCCTCGTGTGTCCTCCGTGTGTCCCTCCTGTGTCCTCCGTGTGTCCTCCGTGTGTCCCTCCGTGTGTGTGTGTGTCCTCCGTGTGTCCTCCGTGTGTCCTCCGTGTGTCCTCCGTGTGTCCCTCTCGTGTGTCCCTCGTGTGTCCCTGTGTCCGTGTGTCCCTCGTGTGTCGTGTGTCCCTCCGTGTGTCCCTCCGTGTGTCCTCGTGTCCCTCCGTGTGTCCTCCGTGTGTCCTCCGTGTGTCCCCTGTGTCCCTCCGTGTGTCCTCCCTCCGTGTGTCCGTGTGTCCTCTCCCTCGTGTGTCCGTGTGTCCCCTGTGTGTCCTCCGTGTGTCCTCCGTGTGTCCTCCCCGTGTGTCCTCCGTGTGTCCTCCGTGTGTCCTCCGTGTGTCCCGTGTGTCCCGTGTGTCCTCCCGTGTGTCCTCCGTGTCCTCCGTCCTCGTGTGTCCTCCGTGTGTCCTCCGTGTGTCCTCCGTGTGTCCTCCGTGTGTCCTCCCCTCGTGTGTCCCTCCCCCGTGTGTCCTCCGTGTGTCCTCCGTGTGTCCTCCGTGTCCCTCTGTGTCCCTCGTGTGTGTCCCTCCGTGCCGTGTGTCCTCCGTGTGTCCCTCCGTGTGTCCTCCGTGTGTCCTCCGTGTCCGTCCGTGTGTCCGTCCTCCGTGTGTCCCTCCGTGTGTCCTCCGTGTGTCCCCGTGTGTCCCCGTCCTCGTGTGTCCTCCGTGTGTGTGTGTCCTCCGTGTGTCCGTGTGTGTTCCCTCCGTGTGTCCTCCGTGTGTCCTCCGTGTGTCCTCCGTGTGTCCTCCGTGTGTCCCCCGTGTGTCTGTGTCCTCCTCCGTGTGTCCCTCCGTGTGTCCTCTGTGTGTCCCTCCGTGTGTCCCTCCGTGTGTCCTCCGTGTGTCCTCCGTGTGTCCTCCGTGTGTCCTCCGTGTGTGTGTCCTCCGTGTGTCCTCCGTGTGTCCCTCGTGTGTCCCTCCGTGTGTCCTGTGTCCGTGTGTCCCTCCGTGTGTCCCCCCGTGTGTCCCCCGTGTCCCTGTCCCCGTGTGTCCTCCGTGTGTCCTCCGTGTGTCCCTCCGTGTGTCCTCCGTGTGTCCCTCCGTGTGTCCTCGTGTGTCCCTCGTGTGTGTCCCCGTGTGTCCCCGTGTGTCCCCCGTGTGTCCTCCGTGTGTCCCCCGTGTGTCCCCGTGTCCCTGTGTCCGTGTGTCCTCCGTGTCCCCCCCTGTGTGTCCTCCGTGTGTCCCTGTGTGTCCTCGTGTCCCCCGTGTGTCCCTCGTGTGTCCCCCGTGTTTCCGTGTGTCCCCCGTGTGTCCCTCGTGTGTCCCCCGTGTGTCCTCCGTGTGTCCCTCTGTGTGTCCTCCGTGTGTCCCTCGTGTGTCCCTCTGTGTGTCCTCCGTGTGTCCCTCGTGTGTCCCCGTGTGTCCCCCGTGTGTCCCCCGTGTGTCCTCCGTGTGTCCTCCGTGTGTCCTCTGTGTCCCCCGTGTGTCCCCCGTGTGTCCCTCTGTGTGTCCCTCCATGTGTCCTCCGTGTGTCCCTCGTGTCCCCTCGTGTGTCCCTCGTGTGTTCCTCCGTGTGTCCCCCGTGTCCCTCCGTGTGTCCTCCGTGTCCTCCGTGTGTCCTCCGTGTCCCCCGTGTGTCCTCCCCTGTGTCCCTCCGTGTGTCCTCTGTGTGTCCTCCGTGTGTCCCTGTGTCCCTCGTGTGTCCTCCGTGTGTCCTCTGTGTGTCCCCGTGTGTCCTCCGTGTGTCCTCCGTGTGTGTCCTCCGTGTGTCCTCCGTGTGTCCCTCGTGTGTGTGTCCCCGTGTGTCCTCTGTGTGTCCTCTGTGTGTGTCCCTCCGTGTGTCCCCGTGTGTCCCTGTGTGTGTCCTCCGTGTGTCCTCCGTGTGTCCTCCGTGTGTCCTCCGTGTGTCCTCGTGTGTCCCCCGTGTGTCCCTCCGTGTGTCCCCGTGTGTCCTCTGTGTGTCCCCGTGTGTCCCCGTGTGTCCTCCGTGTGTCCCTCCGTGTGTCCTCCGTGTGTCCTCCGTGTGTCCTCCGTGTGTCCTCCGTGTGTCCCTCCGTGTGTCCTCCGTGTGTCCTCCGTGTGTCCTCCGTGTGTCCCTCCGTGTGTCCCTCGTGTGTCCTCTGTGTGTCCCCGTGTGTCCTCTGTGTGTCCTCCCGTGTGTCCGTGTGTCCCTCGTGTGTCCTCCGTGTGTCCTCGTGTGTCCTCCGTGTGTCCTCCGTGTGTCCCTCCGTGTGTCCTCCGTGTGTCCTCCGTGTGTCCCTCGTGTGTCCTCCGTGTGTCCCCGTGTGTCCCTCCGTGTGTCCTCCGTGTGTCCTCCGTGTGTCCTCCGTGTCCCTCGTCCCTGTGTCCTGTGTCCGTGGTGTCCCCGTGTGTCCCCGTGTGTCCCCGTGTGTCCTCGTGTGTGTCCCCCGTGTGTCCTCTGTGTGTCCGTCCGTGTGTCCCTCGTGTGTGTCCCTCCGTGTGTCCCTCGTGTGTCCCTCCGTGTGTCCTCCCCATGTGTCCTCCGTGTGTCCCTCCGTGTGTCCCTCCGTGTGTGTCCCCCGTGTGTCCTCCGTGTGTCCTCCGTGTGTCCCGTGTGTCCTCCGTGTGTCCTCCGTGTGTCCCTCCCTCCGTGTGTCCCCGTGTGTCCTCCGTGTGTCCTCCTCCGTGTCCTCCGTCCTCCGTGTGTCCCCCGTGTGTCCCCCGTGTGTCCGTGTGTCCCCGTGTGTCCTCCGTGTGTCCCTCCGTGTGTCCCTCCGTGTGTTCCCGTGTGTCCTCCGTGTGTCCCCCGTGTGTCCCTCCGTGTGTCCTCCGTGTGTCCCCGTGTGTCCCTCCGTGTGTCCCTCGTGTGTCCTCCGTGTGTCCTCCGTGTGTCCCTCGTGTGTCTCCGTGTTGTCCCTCGTGTGTCCTCCGTGTGTCCCTCCGTGTGTCCCTCCGTGTGTCCCCCGTGTGTCCCCCGTGTGTCCCTCGTGTGTCCTCCGTGTGTCCTCCGTGTGTCCCGTGTGTCCCTGTGTCCCTCGTGTGTCCTCCGTGTGTCCCCGTGTGTCCTCCGTGTGTCCCTCCGTGTGTCCCTCGTCCGTCCGTGTGTCCCTCCGTGTGTCCCCCGTGTGTCCCTCCGTGTGTCCTCCGTGTGTTCCCTCCGTGTGTCCTCCGTGTGTCCCTCCGTGTGTCCTCCGTGTGTCCTCCGTGTGTCCTCCGTGTGTCCCTCGTGTGTCCCTCGTGTGTCCTCCGTGTGTCCCTCCGTGTGTCCTCCGTGTGTCCCTCCGTGTGTCCCTCCGTGTGTCCTCCGTGTGTCCCCGTGTGTCCCTCGTGTGTCCTCCGTGTGTCCTCCGTGTGTCCTCCGTGTGTCCCTCCGTGTGTCCTCCGTGTGTCCTCCGTGTGTCCTCCGTGTGTCCTCCGTGTGTCCTCCGTGTGTCCCTCGTGTGTCCTCCGTGTGTCCCTGTGTGTCCCTCGTGTGTGTGTGTCCTCCGTGTGTCCTCCGTGTGTGTCCCTCCGTGTGTCCTCCGTGTCCCTCTGTCCTCTGTGTGTCCCTCGTGTGTCCCTCGTGTGTCCCTCATGTGTCCCTCCGTGTGTCCCTCCGTGTGTGTGTCCTCCGTGTGTCCCTCCGTGTGTCCCCGTGTGTCCCTCGTGTGTCCTCCGTGTGTCCTGTGTCCTCCGTGTGTCCTCCGTGTGTCCTCATGTGTCTCGTGTGTTCCCCGTGTGTCCCTCTGTGTCTCCTCCGTGTGTCCCTCGTGTGTCCCCGTGTGTCCCCGTGTGTCCGTGTGTCCCCGTGTGTGTCCCCCGTGTGTCCCCCGTGTGTCCTCCGTGTGTCCTCCGTGTGTCCTCCGTGTGTCCCTCCGTGTGTCCCTCCGTGTCCCTCCGTGTCCCTCGTGTGTCCTCCGTGTCCCTCCGTGTGTCCCTTTGTGTGTCCTCCGTGTGTCCCCGTGTGTCCTCGTGTGTCGTGTGTGTCCTGTGTCCTCGTGTGTCCTCCGTGTGTCCCGTGTGTCCCCCGTGTGTCCCCGTGTGTCCCCGTGTGTCCCCGTGTGTCCCCCGTGTGTCCCCCGTGTGTGCCCCGTGTTGTCCTCCGTGTGTCCTCCGTGTGTCCCCCGTGTGTCCCTCGTGTGTCCTCCGTGTGTGTCGTGTGTGTCCCCGTGTGTCCTCGTGTGTCCTCCGTGTGTCCTCCGTGTGTCCCCGTGTGTCCCTCCGTGTGTCCCTCGTGTGTCCTCGTGTTCCCCCTGTGTGTCCTCCGTGTGTCCCCGTGTGTCCTCGTGTGTCCTCTGTGTCCCCCGTTGTCCCCGTCCCCGTGTGTCCCCGTGTGTGTTGTCCCTCGTGTGTCCCGTGTGTCCCCGTGTGTCCCTCCGTGTGTCCTCCGTGTGTCCCCGTGTGTCCCCGTGTGTCCCTGTGTCGTGTGTTCCCCCGTGTGTCCGTGTGTCCCTGTGCCTGTGTCCTCCGTGTGTCCTCCGTGTGTCCCCCGTCCCTGTGTGTCCTCCGTGTGTCCTTGTGTGTCCCTCGTGTGTCCTCTGTGTGTCCCTGCAGGAGTGTGCGTGTGGGAGGTTTTCTCTGTGGCCCAGCAGCCGTTCTTCTGGTTGGAAAACGGGCAGGTGATAAACCAGCTGGAGTCTGGGGTTCGACTCCCGAAGCCGGACACGTGTCCCCCGGTTCTGTTCTCTGTCCTCACCCACTGCTGGGCCTACGAACCCCACAGGAGGCCCACCTTCAAACACCTGGTCTGCTCGCTCAGGTAACACAGACCCGAGTGTAGTCCTGGTTCAGTCCTGGTTTAATCATGGCTTTAGTCCTGGTTCAGTCCTGGTCTAGTCCTGGTTTAGTCCTGGTTTAGTCCTGATTTAGTCCTGGTTTAGTCCTGGTTTATTCCTAGTTTGGTCCTTGGTTTGGTCCTGGTTCAGTCCTGGTTTAGTCCTGGTCTAGTCCTGGTCTAGTCCTGGTCTAGTCCTGGTCCAGTCCTGGTTCAGTCCTGGTCTAGTCCTGGTTCAGTCCTGGTTTAGTCCTGGTTCAGTCCTGGTCTAGTCCTGGTTTAGTCCTGGTTCAGTCCTGGTTTCAGTCCTGGTTCAGTCCTGGTTTAGTCCTGGTTCAGTCCTGGTTAGTCCTGGTCTAGTCCTGGTTTAGTCCTGGTTCAGTCCTGGTTCAGTCCTGGTCTAGTCCTGGTTTAGTCCTGGTTCAGTCCTGGTCTAGTCCTGGTCTAGTCCTGGTTCAGTCCTGGTTCAGTCCTGGTTTCTAGTCCTGGTCTAGTCCTGGTTTGTCCTGGTTCAGTCCTGGTCCTGGTTAGTCCTGGTCTAGTCCTGGTTCAGTCCTGGTTTAGTCCTGGTTTTAGTCCTGGTCTAGTCCTGGTTTAGTCCTGGTTCAGTCCTGGTTCAGTCCTGGTTCAGTCCTGGTTTAGTCCTGGTTAGTCCTGGTCTAGGCCTGGTTTAGTCCTGGTCTAGTCCTGGTCCTAGTCTGGTCTCCTGGTTCAGTCCTGGTCTAGTCCTGGTCAGTCCTGGTCTAGTCCTGGTTTAGTCCTGGTTCTGGTCCTAGTCCTGGTTTAGTCCTGGTTCAGTCCTGGTCTAGTCCTGGTCTAGTCCTGGTTCAGTCCTGGTTTTAGTCCTGGTCTAGTCCTTGGTTTAGTCCTGGTTTAGTCCTGGGTCTAGTCCTGGTCTAGTCCTGGTTCCTGGTTCAGTCCTGGTTCAGTCCTGGTTCAGTCCTGGTCTAGTCCTGGTTTAGTCCTGGTTCAGTCCTGGTCTTGGTTCAGTCCTGGTAGTCCTGGTCCAGTCCTGGTCCAGTCCTGGTCCAGTCCTGGTCCAGTCCTGGTTCAGTTCTGTTGTGTTTCAGTGAGTTGTATCGTTTGGAGACTCAGGAGGCCTCAGTGACTCGGGGCAGGACTCTTTCTGTTTCTGGGTTTGCTCCAAGCGCAGAACCTCCTCCAAAGGTACAGACTTTACTTTTGACTCAAAAATATTTCAAAAAAGTATTTATAAAACACAAAATTTAGCATGTTTAGTGAATTTTAAGTCTCGAAAGTTTGTCCAGTTCTTGTTTTTATTTATAAAGTTTGAGTTTAATCGTTTGTGTTTCCTTCAGCCGTCCAGGATCCAGGGCGGAACTCTTCCCCCGAGGAGGCACTCACAGGTCAAATACTTCAAATATATGTACCTCTTATGCAACTTTTATGATCAGCTGCCTTCTTGTCGCCATGGAGATTTAGGTTTTGTCTGTAAAGTTCCACAGTGCGTCTTTAAAACAGCTGCACTTCTGAAACTTTTAACTTTTTCCACCTGTTTCGTTTCAGGTGCCGGTTTCGTCTCAGGTCAGCACCCTCCCCCGAGGACTGCACCTCCTGAAGGTACTGCAAATACTACTACTACTACTACTACTACAAAACCACTGCTACTACTACAAAACCACTGCTACTACTAAAAATACTACTATTATTGCTGAAAGTACTACTACTGCTGCTAAGAGTACTTCAACTACGACTACAGATACCACAACGAGTGTTTACTGCTACTACTACTAGAATGCAACTACTACTACTGCAAATACTGAACTGCTACTACGGCTTCAAGTACCAGTATTGCAAATACTACTACTACTACTACTACCAGTGCTACAACAACTACCACTACTACTGCAAATACTGTTACTACTAATTCTACTTTTGACTACTACTACTACTACAGATACTACACTACTACAGATACTACAGATACTACTACTACTAATACTACAGATACTACTACTACTACAGATACTACTACTACTACTACTACTACTACAGCATGTGGGCTGTAGTAATCACAAACCTACAGTTGTACGAGTCTGAAGGAGAAAAGTACTCGGTTGGAGACTCTGTAATAGTTTTTTTTTTTTTATCGCTGAAACCAGAATTCTTTGGTTTGGTTTATTTTATCAAAACAGGCAAAGATTCAGCGTTTAACACATCAAAGTTCTTTTTATGACATTCATTAAACCAGACGTGTCAAACTCAGGCCCGGGGGCCAAATTTACCCCGTGATATTATTATATTTGGCCAGCGAGATCATATCAAACATGTATTAGAGCTGCTGCCGCTGCTCACAGATCGACTATAGAGACATGATTTATTAACATTTTTACTATTATTTTATATTCAGTTTGTTCTGGATTCAATGTTTAAACAAAACTATTATTAAACATTTATGTGAATAAGAAAAAGTTTAACATTACAGATCTCCAAAAAGAGAAAACATGCAGATGTTTTTGAAATTTTCATTAAATATTTAGTCTGGCCCACGACTTAGTCCCAGTTTTTAATTTTGGCCTTTTTGAGTTTGACTCTCCTGAATTAAACAGTTTCACACCGAACTTTACCAGTGTGAGGAAGTTAAATCAGGGGCTCAACTTTAATCAGTCCAGGGGCAGTAGTTCTGAACGCTCGGTCGGGGCAGGAGGCGCAGTTCTGAAATTCTGTGCCGACTTCTGCAAAAACATGTGAGTGCTTGGATCTGTTGGTCTTTTGGTCTCTCGGGTAAATCTGTCATGATGAAAATGTAAAGTTTGGAGATTAAAAGGTAAAATACAAAAGGTCTTCAAAATGCTTGCAACAAGAAAAATAGTCTATTCAGAAATTTTATAAAAAAGAGAACGATTGAGACAGAGACTAGATATAAAACATATAAAAACAAATTAACTACAATTTTGCGTACAAGTAAGAGAGATTACTTTAGGAAATTATTAGATTATAATAAAAACAATGTGAAAGAGGTATGGAAAATATTGAACAGTGTCATAAATAATCAACCAAAAGCAGAAAACTATCCGAAATTCTTTACACATAATAATATAGATGAATATAACATGGAAATGGTGGCAAATAAGTTCAATCAGTTCTTTGCTAATGTGGGTCCAGATTTGGCAGCCAAAATCCCTCAACACACAGGAGAACGCAACAACTAACTGACAGAAATCCCCATTCCATGTTTATTTCCCCTGTGGGTGAAACGGAAATTGTCAATACAGTCATGAAATGTAAAAATAAGAAATCAACTGATTACATTGATTTGGACATGGCCCTGATAAAACAAATAATTACAATTATTGCCAAACCACTAGCACACATCTTCAATCTATCATTTCACACTGGTACAGTTCCACTACAGATGAAGACAGCAAAAGTCATACCTTTATTTAAATCTGGAAACAAGCAGGAATTTACCAACTACAGACCAGTTTCTCTACGACCACAATTCTCAAAAATATTAGAACAGCTCTACAACACTAGACTGGAAAAATTCATAGGTCAACACAACCTCCTCAGCGATGGTCAGTACAGTTTCAGAACAAGCAGATCAACATCACTCGCTCTGATGGACTCAACTGAAGCAATAACCAATCACATTGATCAAAGGAGAATAATAGCGGGTATATTCATAGATTTAAAAAAGGCTTTTGACACAATAAATCATCAATTACTATTTAAAAAAATGGAAAGGTGTGGAATAAGAGGGGCAGCTTTAAAGTGGCTAAAAAGTTATTTAGTAAACCGAAAACAATTTGTCAAACTGGGTGAACACTGCTCTTCACATGAGGACATTGTCTGGGGCTGCCACAAGGGTCCGTGTTAGGACCTAAATTATTTATTTTATATATTAACGATCTATGCAAAGTGTCTACATTGTTTCAAGCAGTGTTATTTGCAGATGACACAAATTTATTTTGTTATGGAGACAACATACAACAGTTATTAGCTGATATAACATCTGAAATGATACAGCTAAAATATGGTTTGACACAAATAAATTATCTCTAAATTTGAATAAAACTAAAATAATGCTATTTGGGAATTATAAGGAAGAAAACATACAGTTACAGATACAAGGTGTAAGAATAGAGCAGGTCAAGGAGAATACATTTTTAGGGTCATAATTGATGAGAAGATTAACTGGAAAAGCCCACATCCAATATATACATAATAAAATATCAAAAAGTATTGCAGTATTAAACAAAGCAAAGTATGTCTTAGGTCACAGAGCTACACACACTTTACTGTTCACTGGTTTTACCATATTTAACAGACTGTGCAGAAATTTGGGGCAATAACTATAAAACTGCAATAGAACCATTGATAAAACTTCAAAAAAAAGCAATAAGAATTATTTATAATGTCAAATTTCATGACCACACTAATCCACTGTTTATTCATGCCAAATTACTCAAACTGAATGATTTGATTCTGTACCAAACTGCACAAGTCATGTATAAAGCTAAAAATAAGCACTTACCAAAAAAATCTTCAACTACTTTTTTGTGAAAGGGAAACAAACAATAACTTAAGAGGCGTTTTGAATTTTAAATTGCCTCGTGCTCGAACGACAAGAAAAAGTTTTTGTGTCTCTGTTTGTGGTGTGAAATTATGGAACAACTTGAAAATAGAATTAAAACTTTGTTCGAATATACATGTATTCAAAAGGGCAATTAAAAAATTAATTATTTCAAAATACTGTGCGGAAGAAATGAGTGCTTAGGGTCTATGTGTGCATGTATATGTATGTGTATGTATATGGGTGTATATATGTATATATATATATATAGGTATGCATGGGTATGTGATGTGTATGTAGGTATGTATATATTATATCTGTGTATATGATGTGTACTATATCTGTGTACATAATATACATATATTTGTTGTTGTCTGTTAGATTGTAATGCAGTGGAGGTACTGTGCAATTATTGCTTATAATGTACAGGAAATGAGACGTCTGTATTTGTTCTTCGTTAATTTGGGACGGTAGAAAAAAGGGGTGGGGTTAAATAAGTATTTACTTCCTCCCACTCCTTTTTCGGACACAAGGAAAATTCTGCGTAACATTTATTTTGCCTGTTATTATAGAGTAGAAATAGTTACTTTTTGTGTTATATCTATGTATTTACGTTTTTGTCTTTTTTTATTATTTAGTTTTTTGTTTTTGTTTTTTAATTTATGTTCTATGTATTACTGTCCGAAATAAATAAACATAATAATAAAAATCTGGACTTCTTCTTCTTCTTCTTCTGTGTGTGTTTTCAGCTGGAAGATGATCATCCTTTGTGGGAGAGCGAGCGGGAGCAGGTGGAGGAGGCCATCCAGAGACAGAGGATGGAGATGGTCAGTGACAGACAGTGGCTGGAGCAGGAAGAGCGCCACCTGGTGAGACTCGTGTGCGACTGCGCCCTGCAGTGTTACTAATATCACACATAAGACTCAGTGTTTGCTCTGTGTGTTTCAGGACCCTGTGGTTCGACAAGACTCAAACCGGAGCCAGGTGCTTTTATTTTATTTCATTTTTCTATAGTTTAAAGTGCGTATGACACATTTTTTAAACCCTCACGCTCTCCTCGGGGTCACATTGACCCAAAGACATTTTTTTTTTCCTTCTCGCTCTCTTGGGGCAAAAATTTATTTGCAAATAAAATTAATTTCGCACCTTTGCAAATATGGCTCCCGGCAGATTCACCAGTGAGAGAGCAGGAAGAGCCGTGACTTCATCCGTCTGCCGCTGTCTGCTGAACACACACAAACATCCACATAAACAACTTTTTTTATTAAAGAAAAACAAAATACTAATTTCGGATATTTTAGCACAAATGATGTAATTATTTTCAGATTTTTAATAATCTTCACAAAATTAAAATACTGTATCGACCTATAAACTTGACCACAATGTTTTATGGGGAGGTTTTGTTTGGGGCGAGTGACAGGAGTTGTTTTCGGTCATGTCGTGTTTGGATCATGAATGAGACGGACGAGTTTGAGAAATAAACCTGCACTGTTTGTTTTTTGAATGGTGCTGAATAAAAATCGAAATACAAGCAAATCTCTTTCCACATGTTCTTCACACATCGAACGTCACGATACACTGTGGAACTTTTTTAACAAACACAGACAAAAAGGCTTTAACATAGTCTTAAAACTAGTCTAAAAAATAAAAAAGAGATTCGTGCAAGCGTTCTTCGCAAATCCTGTCTTCAGAGGATCATAAAAACGTGTCATACTCACTTTAAATGTCGAACTGAAACGGTCTGGTGTAATAATCGTGAAACATGTGACTGACTCTTGTGTGTGTTTGTTTTCAGACTCCAGACAGTCCGTCCTCCATCGGTGAATAAACACGACTCACTCTGATTTTAGCTACAATTTCTCTCTAAATATTTTTTGTTTTTGTTTGTTTGTTTGTTTTATCAGGTCCTCCACCAAAAACTCCCACGTCCCCAGCCCCCACTCAGGTACTCCCAGCTCTGTAGGCCTGGTTTAATCCTGGTTTAGTCCTAGTTTAGTCTTTGTTTAGTTCTGGTTTAGTCCTGGTTTAGTCTTTGTTTAGTCCTGGTTTAGTCCTGGATTAGTCCTGGTTTAGTCCTGGTTTAGTCTTTGTTTAGTCCTGGTTTAGTCCTGGATTAGTCCTGGTTTAGTCCTGGATTAGTCCTGGTTTAGTCCTGTTTTAGTCCTAGTTTAATCCTGGTTTAGTCCAGGTTTAGTCCTGATTTAGTCCTGGTTTAGTCCTAGTTTGGTCCTTGGTTTGGTCCTGGTTTGGTCCTGGTTTAGTCCTGGTTTAGTCTTTGTTTAGTCCTGGTTTAGTCCTGGATTAGTCCTGGTTTAGTCCTGTTTTAGTCCTAGTTTAATCCTGGTTTAGTCCAGGTTTAGTCCTGATTTAGTCCTGGTTTAGTCCTGGTTTAGTCCTAGTTTGGTCCTTGGTTTGGTCCTGGTTTGGTCTTTGTTTAGTCCTGGTTTAGTCCTGTTTTAGTCCTGATTTAGTCCTGGTTTAGTCCTGGTTTAGTCCTAGTTTGGTCCTTGGTTTGGTCCTGGTTTAGTCCTGGTTTAGTCCTAGTTTAGTTCTGGTTTAGTCCTGGATTAGTCCTGGTTTAGTCCTAGTTTGGTCCTTGGTTTAGTCCTGGTTTAGTCCTGGTTTAGTCCTAGTTTGGTCCTTGGTTTGGTGCTGGTTTAGTCCTGGTTTAGTCCTGGTTTAGTCCTGGTTTAGTCCCTACCCTGTTAGAACTGTATTATTTTCTGTTTCTTTTCAGTCTTTACCGACGGCTGAGTTGGACCGAACCGAGGACCAGGTTTACAGCGGAGTCATGGAGCTGGTGCGACAGGTGGTCCAACTGAAGAACCACATCCACGGAGCGCCCTCCTCCGAGTACCCCAGTGCGGTCCGAGTGAGTCACTATAACACAGAGTACCCCAGTGCGGTCCGAGTGAGTCACTATAACACAGAGTACCCCAGTGCGGTCCGAGTGAGTCACTATAACACAGAGTACCC